AGAGCCAAATCTCTCTGCTCCAGAAATCGAGGGGTCAATCACGCCCCTTCGGCAGCTCTTCGGGGAAAACGACATCATAGCACGCCCTGTGCCCCTCGAGTTCTCGTTCGGATAAATCTGGCTAAATGCTACCAACACTAGTCCTCTTCCGTGTGGGAAATTCAAGCAATGGAGCCGTTGGGAAGGCAGATATATAAGATGGTGCAGAGACGTAAAGCAGAGCGTCTTTCTTGGTGTCTCTCGGCTGGAACCATCAGAAAGGACTAAATCACGAAGAGTACTGACTTTTTCGGTCATAAGAGAGAGGAAGTACCAGAGCCATGGCGCCGCAACCACTAGTCACGCATATATACACGGCGGATCCGTCAGCGCATGTCTTTGAGGGCAAGATCTACGTCTATCCATCTCATGTAAGTCGCTTGCTACGGATGATGGGGAGGGAGTGTGCCAGATTAGACGGCCGATGCAGAAGAGCATGTATCGCGGTGACTTTGGTGTCTCCAACGACCGCGACTCTATCTCTGCCAGCCGGACTCCCTTCTCCCTTCTCTACCCCATAACTAACACCATTCCCTCGTCTTACAGGACCGCGAAACAGACATCAAATTCAACGACAATGGCGACCAGTACGACATGGCCGACTACCACGTCCTGTCCCTCTCGGAAGTGGGCGGGCCCGTGACGGACCACGGCGTGGCGCTCAAAGCCGAAGACATCCCCTGGGTGTCGAAGCAGCTGTGGGCGCCGGACGCGGCGACCAAGAACGGCAAATACTACCTATACTTCCCAGCACGGGACAAGGAGGGCATCTTCCGCATTGGGGTGGCCGTCAGCGACTCGCCGGCGGGGCCTTTCACGCCCGACCCAGAGCCCATCCCGGGCAGCTACAGCATCGACCCGGCCAGCTTCGTAGACGACGACGGGCAGGCGTACCTGTACTTTGGCGGCATCTGGGGCGGCCAACTGCAGTGCTGGTCCGAGGAAGGCAAATTCGACGCCTCCATGTCCGGGCCCAAGGAACCACAGGGCCACGACGTCCCGGCCTTGCTGCCCCGCGCGGCCAGGCTGAGCGACGACATGCACAGCTTCGCCTCCAACGTGCAGCAGCTCGAGATCCGCGACCCGGACACGGGCGCCCTGCTCGCGGCCGACGACCACGACCGCCGCTTCTTCGAGGCCGCCTGGATGCACAAGTACCGCGGCAAGTACTACCTGAGCTACTCGACGGGCGACACGCACTACCTGGTGTACGCGATCGGGGACCACCCGCTCGGCCCCTTCACCTACGCGGGACGCATCCTGGAGCCCGTCCTGGGGTGGACCACGCACCACAGCATCGTCGAGTTTCGGGGCAAGTGGTACCTCTTCTACCACGACTGCGAGCTCAGCAAGGGCGTCGACCACCTCCGCAGCGTCAAGATGCGCGAGATTGTCTATGACGACCAAGGCCGGATCTCTTTGGCCGAGAAGCAGTAAGAGAGAGTGGGATCGAGGTAGGGAGATGTTGGGTGGGGTGGACGCGGAATGGGGTCGTTACGTCCACTGATGGTTGGAGCACTGGTAGAGAGTTGTGGAAGATATGAGAAGAGTATGGTAAAAGAATATTTTCCGGTTTTATGTGTACGAAAAATGAATGAATGACCTCCCCCTTTCTCATTCCCAGCTTTCTTTCTCTCTAGGGTCAACCCCATTGTGCGTATGCGGATCAAAGAACGAGAAGTCCTTCGAATTCTCTCTAATCCACGTGGATCATCGAGTAATATCGCAAGCCAGAGTTCGAAGATAGACAAAGCTTCGTTAGTGACGTGATCGTAGTGTTAACCCCACAGTCTACCGTTACAACGGAACTCAGCCAAAGAACACAGGATGATCGCGGTCACTGTTATTCTATCGTGTACATATCAAGGTTATAGAGATAGGGATCGCCGCCGAGGTTGACTGGGGCAAAAGGCGCTCTGGTGCCTTAGTTCTCCTTCTGCTTATTGCAGCGTCCAGCCTCCCTCATCGATGTGTCCATTTCAAGTGCTGCTCAACTGCGCCTTGGCCAGTTCCTCGGCCACCTTCATACAGTCAAAGCCATAGACCATCTTCTGGACGTCGGCATCAGCCCATTTGTCCGGCACGGGTCCCTTTCCCGCCTTGAGGGCTGCAAACTGCTTATCGCGCTCTTCCTTGGCTGCTCCCTCCCCCAAATGCAGTGCCCGCCCACTCGCGGCGGCCAGCTCGACCAGCGTCTCGGCGCGCTCTTTGCGCACCTCCTCGTACAGCTTGAGGGCTTTGTTGATATCTGCAGGGGAAGCGCCGGAGGGGAGGTGAGAAAGGACGACGGCAAGGACCGCGGCGTCTTCAATGGCCTGTGCGGCGCCCTGCGCGAGATGCGGCAGAGTCGGGTGGCACGCGTCGCCGACCAGGGCCATTGAGCCCATGACCCACGTGGGGAGAGGCGCATGGACACGCAGTTTCCACTCGCACACCTCACCCTCGGGCACCAGGTCGAGCATGCGATGAATCATGGGGCAAAAGTCGGCAAAGACGTCCAGCATGGCCTTTTTCGAGCCTCGGGTCGTGTACGTTGCCGAGGGAGCGGCCGCGAAGTTGACGTCTGGCTGTGTCGTCGAGATGTTGTATATCTGTTTGCTCGACACCGGGTACGCGATGATGTGTCTCTTCTCGCCGATCCAGCGCGTCACCTTGTCGGCGTCGATCAGGGCCAGCAAGTCCGGATCAGACGCCATCTGTTCCCGGCTGAGCATGATTCGGTACGCCGCCTGGCCGGTGTCGTTGATATCAGCTTCGACGTTGAGTTCCTTGAGCATGGCGACACGCGCGTTGGACTTGATGCCGTCTGCCCCCAGCAGGATATCGCATTGTACCTGGTACGGCTCTGCGTCTTTTCGTGGGATGGCCGTGAAGCTCGGCTTGGGCACAAACGTAAAGTTCTCACATGTCGTCGCAAAGCAGAATTTGATGCTCTCCGACTCTCTTTTGCACCCGTTGTAGAGCTCGCCCGCCAGCGTCGCCCGATGGCCGACCGTGTGCGGGAAGCCGTATGCCTCACGGATGTACTTGAGGTCGACATGGCCGAGCTCGGTATCGGTCGAGCCCTGTCGAATGCTCGTCTCGTTGAGAACCACCGCTTCCTTCTCGATGTCGTCCCACACGCCGAGTCGGTCGAGGATACGCGCCATATTGGGCGCCATTTGTATGCCAGCACCGACAAAGCCGAGATTCGACGCCATTTCATACACGGTGATGTCCTTGAATCCGGCACGAGCCAGGGCAAGGGCGCACGTCAAGCCGCCCATGCCGGCTCCAATGACGCATATCTTGAGTGATGCGACGTCTGGATGCATCGTGAAAGGCTGCTGGTTGACGACCCCTTGTCTTTCCTTTTCCCCTACAACTCAGTTCCTGTTCCTCTTTGCCCTTCTTTATATCCTTTTGCCTCGCATTGGGGGGGTATTGAGGCAATTATAGAATAAGGTTCCCCACAGAGCGATATTGGCGGGTAAAGACAAACCCGATCGGGTCGAGCGCGACTTCTTTTGTCACTTCAACGACAAGTCGCGGAGATCGGAAACATCCGACGGCTTGTCGCACCTTTGCCGGATCTCCCTGTCAGTAATTGAGGATGAGAAGTCCTGGCCAAGGAAAAATAAGAAGTTGACGACTAGACAGATTGACGAGGAACAAGATGACGAACCATCCTCCACAAAGGAGGAAAGTGGAGGAAGAGAGCAAGAATGTGGAGATGTCCATGGGCCCCCGAAATGACAATTGCCGAGTTGTACAGCCGACTTTCACCCGGCGGGAGATGACATGTGGGTTTGATTCTTCTAGAGAACGTCTGTACAAGTATTTGTAGATATCTATACGACGATCAAATGAGGATCAAGCTCCTCGATTTTCCGAGTTAACCCTGATGCCGCTCGAAGGGGACTTTGTCCGGGAGTGATGTCGCCGGTTTCTTGATTCTGACAGATATTGCACAATTCGGTGCAGTCATGTTTCAGATCACCACTGGCAAAGATTGCGCCTTTGATATCTACCAGGAGTGGACGCAGATTGGGTATCCAACGGTCTGGCCTCCACGGGATACTCTTCCACGACGCTTGAGAAGGAAAAATAGCTTCGAGATGGAGTGAGAAAAGGCAAATTCTCTCAGCTTCACGAGATCTGGTGCTCAACAAGTCTGCCTCGGGAAAACAAACGAAATTCAATACGACTGCCCATGGAGACGCGGCCAATCGAGTCAAACGGTGACTTCTATCGTCCCAAACAGTCACACTGGAGACTGATCACACGTACCGGAATCATGCATGAGCAAGCAATCCCAGCACTCCAGGAAGAAGGAATTCTCGAGGGTGAAGGTGGGCTGTACCATATCGAAGAGGAGTGAGATCGCTCGTTAAGATCCTCTGGCTCGAGCTCGATCGAGGCTCTTGGGTCGGCGTGGAGACTCATGTGAGAGCCAGCCTTGGATAGAGCCACAAGCGAGGGCTGACCGAGAAAGGGGGCTGGACATCACACTGTACAGGTTGACTAATATGTCCCAGAGAGACCCCTGCCCCCGATGGCACACATCTAAAACAGACCGGATGCGATTGTCGAGTACTCAAAGTAGCAAATTCCAAAGATCTTGGGAGGAATCAAACGAGGTCTTTCGAGGCCCACGAAAGTCGCATTTGAGAACACGTCTAGACCGCAGGCTTCCATCGCGCCGCCACGGCGGACAACAAGATGGCTGTTCCGTGGGATGTAGAGATATACATAGAAAAACCAGGAAGTTAGCTTTATACCACAATAGTCAGCAGCGAATCTTGATCTCTCCAAAATCCATACTCATCAGGCCTTAGCACGTTGCTGCTTTGCTTGAATCCTGACTGGGCGATCCTGAGCTATGGCTATGCGGCCCCTTGGTGGTTCCTGAGGGTGTTCAACAACAACACCGTCGGTCTGTAGTTTTCAACTTGCGAAGACCCAGGCACGTAGACTTGCCCTCACTTGACGAAATATCGATGACGAAACCATGTGTCTGGCCTGCTGATGCGACGTCTCGGGGGCTTTTCTTTGGTTCTTTGATCTTCTAGTTTCTGGGCTTCGGATTCCTCCCCAATAAACCGAACTCCTGAAGACTCAGCCTCGACCTCTGGTATCGGTGCTACCGTAATGGTTGGTTGGTCCAAGGTTTTAATGGTTGAGCGTACCTCAACCTGCTCAATGACAAGCCTTGTGCTGTTCGGTGGTGACGCCGTCAGAGACACCACCGAAGCTTTCTGGCATTGGTATCCCAAGACCGCCGACCGCTCGCTCGTATTGCCGTCCGCTTCTTTGCTGCCATAGATCACCCCGGTTACGATGTGGAATCTGGGCTCCCCAACCTTGAGGCTTTCTCTCACAGCCTGTAACTGCAGAGCAGCCTTCAAGTACTCGACTGTGCGATCTGTCGACCACTCCTCCCTGACCACGATCTTGTAGCCCGCGCCCTCAATATCAGGACTGAGAAGAGACTGCCAGTACTTGAAGTCATTCTTGATGATGCGCGACACCCCAAAGTCAATTAATTCTTTGTACTGAAAAGGCACGACATCATCTCGCGTTGCGATCGGTCGGGTTGTCGAACTCGGTGAGGACATCTCCTTGATGATGTCGCCCAGCGCTACGCTCACAGCAGACATATTCGATTTGCCCTTCCAGCTCAGGATCCAGTATTTTTTGGCCGACTGTGGGTCCCACTGCCACGCTGGATCGTTGGACCGCGACGAACCAGCCAGGGATCGCAGCGAGAGTAGATCACGGGTGAGTTTTTGCCCCTCCTGTATTGCTTTGGCCCAGTCTGCGAGTCTTTCGATGATGTACGTAAGATCCTCTTGTGCTGTGTTGACACAAAAATGGCTCGAGTTATGGATTTCGATCGCTTCGACAGAAGGAAGGCAGCAAAACTCTGGAGACAGGAACTATTGCAAGTCAGACTTGTCACGAATTACGACAGACAAGACATGATGCAAAGAAACAACTCACGAGTTTTGTCACCGGGTCAGGTTGCTTTGCAAAACAGCAGGCAAGTCTGATCTGGCTGGCTGATTTCTCAACGATGTCGGCAAATTGTGCCTGCATCCTGGATATTCTGATGAAATCATCCAAGCATCCTGACCAATCCTGATCCTCCCTGCTCCTCGCCGTGGTGAGATTGAGTTCTTTCGCAGTCAAAAAGGTCCACTGCGCCAACCCGGCTCGGAAATGTGGTGTGTTGCAAAGTAGCATCCCGCGCAATCGTTTCTTCGCCCGGGCCGATTTCAGGCTCGCTGAGTTGGTTTGTAGCCGCATAAAGGCCTGTTCACAAATCAAGCCTCCATAACCGTGTCCAACAAGTATCTCATGCTTTGAATCGAGTTCACCTCGGCCTAGGAAATCTAAAAGCCGGTTGGTGTGATTGTCGAGTTCAGTCTGGGAGAGGATCTTGTGCATCGAGCTGATGGATGGGTTGGTATACCTAAATGCGATGCCACCACTATTAGGTATCTTATCGGTGAGGGACCGAGAGAGTTCCTGAAAGTCCTGGATTCCAGACTGTCGCTGCAACCGAGCCTTCGCTGCTGAAAGTTGATTGAAAGATGTCACCGGGTTCTGCTTCAGTATTTTTGGTTGGAACGGAGTAACCGAGAGGACATAGTCGTGTAGTACTACAAACCTGATATTGTTAGCCTGAGATATGGAATTGGTATAATGACTGTATAATGAAGAAGCCTATGCCGCCACTACAGTCATTTCGCTGTTCACGGTGAGACGTACCTCAGGTCAGCAGCATCCGGCTCTCCGAACAATCGGTAGCAGTCATCTTCTGAATGTAAAAAAGCATTGCTAAGAGTGTAAAGCTGTGCGCTTTGCACTTCTGCCATTTCGATAAGTCTGGTATGACCGGATGGTATAGGCTGAAGGGTAGTTTGCAGTATTCACCAAATGGTTTTTCTTGAGGCTGGTGATGTTGATGGATGGATAGATGACATCTGTCGGACATGTTGCCCTTTGAGTCCCACCTTTCTCGTCATCCGTTCGACGAGACACGAGGAAACCAAAGTCCGGTAACACAACTAGGCAGCCCAGCCCTGACACGGAAAGGTGCCAAAAAGGCCAGACTTAACTCCGGGACTAACCGAGCAAAAGCGCCAACCCCAAGCCAGCCAAGCAGCGCCTACTGCCACCCTACCACGGCCGTGCATACTTAGCATTGGCAGGAACTATCTTGGGAAACTTATATTAGTGTGAACAGCCAACATCCTGAAATATAAATTATTTTGTAAGTTTCCCTGATTCGAGCACCGGATCAAAGTACATCATCCGTGGCCTAATGCAGCCGCGAGCAGCGAAGCGACACATATATCGCACCAGCAAATTGGAACAAGCTGACCCCGGCTCGCCCGTTCTCTCAACCCAGTCATGGCTAGGTTGCATCTAAATGAGGCTGAGACACAGTCAACAGCGCCCTAAAAGATCACATTTCTCGTACCCTGACTACCCTGGTCTCCATTGCCCGACTGCTATGGTCCACCATGGGTTGTCCGCCTACCCGCCCGAGCCTGCACCCGGCAGTCAGGCTGAAAGCTGGAAGACGAATGTTGGGCTGCAGTCACTCATGTGAATGGCTGAAACCGCAGCAGAAGCACGTTTGAAACCCCACGTCCCAAAAGTGGGTGGCTGATTCTCCCTTTCAGAGGGGATGGTGACTTATATATCGCGTCGTGCAATACATACAATCTTCTCTCCATTAAGTGACTCAAACACCATGGCTCAACAACCCAGGAGGATCGTTCTCTTCTGTGACGGGACTGGTCAATCAGAATACAACCCTGAGAATCGATTAACAAACGTATCACGCATCAAGAGTTACATGTCGATCAGGACGAGCGGTAACACCAGTCAGTCATCCTTCTATATCCCAGGGATTGGCACAGAAGGTTTCCACACGGATAAACTGCACCAGGCCAATGCCAAAGGTGGGGCATCCTGACCAATAAGCCATAGTGATATCGATGGCTCCGATGCAGTTTCTGTGTCGGGATTCTGGGACCCGAATACCTTCTAATTCGTGACATATAGGTATCGAGACAAGTATCAAAGCAGGTTACACCGCCATTCGCGACAACTATAGCCACGACGACGGCGATCAGATAATCCTACTGGGATTCTCTAGGGGCGCATTCGTTATGAGATGTGTGGCTGACATGGTCGGCAGAATCGGGGTGCTCACAAAAGCTTCCAATCGTCTTGCCGACCACCTTGTGGACCTCGTCTTTGAACAGTGGAAAGCACGCAAGGACGGCCAATACCAACGATATGATCCCGACCCAAGGCAAGTTGACTTTGCAGATACTCCCACTACTGATGATGGGCAAGTTGCTGTCTCAGAAGTTGTTCCAAGCCTGGGTGATGTGGATCGAAATGACAAGGACGCCCTTTTCACATTTTTGTTGCAACACAGCACATATCTAAACCGCGAAGTTCCTATCAAGGTCTGCGCGCTCTGGGATACAGTGGCGGCAGTCGACACACCCCTTCTTGGAATTCAGCAGATACGCGTTCCCGGCGAGTTCGCCTTTGTCAACTCGGGGCTGGGTAACAGAATCCAACATGCGATACACGCACTTTCCCTCCACGAACGTCGTAGGCCTTTTCTGCCGATTGTCTGGAGGACATCTGATACCGCAGAAACTCTTATAAACCAGACTCGAACTTTACGGCAGTGTTGGTTTGTAGGATACCACAGCGATATTGGTGGCGGACGTGAGTTCCAGGGCCTCAGTCATATTTCACTGGCGTGGATGATCGCAAGGCTTCAGACTTTTCTGGAGTTTGATGTCGACAAGTTTTCTAACCCTCCCCCAACAAAATCAAGCTGGATACTCCATAGAGAACCTGACAGTAGTGGTGGCTCAACTGTCGGTGAGAAGACTCCTATCTTCGAATCATCCTCCCCATTTGCAAGGTCCACAAGCATCTCCTTTTTAGTCCTACTGTGGAGTCCCCAGTGGCTGACAATTAAGCTACAATAGTACGTCCCCAAATCATTGGACCCGACTCGATGACAGCGAAATTTCGCGTAGCAGGAACGAAACACCGGAAGCCACGTCGGCATTTCTGGACAACAACAACCTTCGATAAAATCAAAGAACCAAATGCCAACACAGGTGACTCTAAGGAGACGATACACTGGACCGTCAATGTCATAACTGGTGTGAGGTGGTACCCGTCATGCAAAGCTCTCGCGTCGTCCTTCCCGGGGGTAGACTCGATCGCAAATTGCCGATGTGGACAGGGTAACACCAGGCACCGGCGACACTGGACTATCCCACTGAAATCCTCAGCCATTCGAAACTACCGCGTCTGTGAAGAGACCGCCTTGGAGGCGAATCCGAATTTGGAGGTCGATGGGGGGCTGGAGCTGAAGCTGCTGTTGAAGTGGCTCTCGTCCGAACTGGAGGCTCTCCAGAAGGACAGCAAGGAAAGCGATCCAATTCCCAAGACCTGCATAGTCGAAGTGATGGGTGACATACAGAGGCGATTTAATAACACGGCGAGAGGAATCCTGTGAGTAGCCATTTTTACATTGGAGCAACCATTTGTTTCCTCGCCTTCACAAAGATTTCGGCACCCTCCCTCGGAGGTGGTCGTGTAAGCTTTCCACATCCTTGAAGAGAGACACGAATTATAGCGCAAAGTATCCAAAGACTACGAGGACTGATCACGACGACTTGAGGCTGAGCTGAAGTTGAGTCTGGTCACATGACACATGAGAGTTGAGGGCAGCATGCCGCTGAATACATACTGGGCGAATCTTGACCTCTCTATAATCTCTGGGCGTTCCTATAATCAACCACGGAGATACCAGGGGAAAAATTCAAAGCTGTACGTAGCATGTTCTGAAATGATATCGTAATGCAATGAAACTCATGCCTAGTACATGTGGCAAGCGGTTACCCGGAATCCCACCCAGCAGAAAACTTAGACAAGCATGAGCAGCCGCTGCGGAGCCATGCCTTGTTGCGCGGGACAAGTTCGTTGAATGAAAAGAAGGGTAAGGAAATAGGCGCAGGCCAGCGCAACCTAAGACGGGCCTTTGTGACGTTATCCGCCTTGGACAAAAGTTCTATCTGGTCAAGCTTAGGCGGGCCCAACCCCCAACTTACAAGGAAGATTTAGTCCAAGATTCCGAGGGGAGTGAAGTTATGCGGAATGCCAAGGCTATTGGTGGAGCGGAAGCCTTGGCGATCGTCACGGCCTTGGCGAAAGTTGTCCTCCAGATTTGTCTGACGCAGACGGGAAGTAGAATTTTGTACACTTTGTCAGGAGCCAGGCTTCTTGTTCTCACATCTTCTTGTCGAAATGTTGCCAAGTGTGCGTTTGGATCATGAAGATCAGGGACCTCGGCAAGCTTGACCGATCCGACGGGTTCTTCTGATCGAGGATTCAAATCACTATGCTGCACGACTGAGCGACCTCCAGACACGCAGTCTGCTGCGGTGGATCCGTGGCGCCATATTTTCTGGACAAGGTATGTATATGCCACCAAGCGCCCTTGAGAGGTCTTGGACAACGACATCGATCGCTTGGCAACCTCATAGTCCAGGTCACGCAATTCGATCCGTCAATTTCACCCATTGTCGTTCGTCACCAGAACTGCAAGTCCTTCCCACCCTCGTGGATATGCGTGGGATGGTCCGCTTTCTCGACTGCGATCGGATACGAGGGTATATATAGGAGGTGGACACCTTGAAAAAAAAAAAAAGCCAGGGTGCTTCTCGCGTCACGTATATTGCCGACAAGCGACGTTCCAGCTACCATGGTGTTCGTCCGATACCTCAAGAAGGCCGCCGATATCTTCGCCCCTCCGCCCCAGAAGTCGGAGGATGGGCGAGACCAGTGGCCCTCGCGGACGGCCTTCCTGCTGGCCTCCATGGGCGGTTGCGCAGGGCAGGGAAACCTGTTGCGGTACCCGTCTGTGGTGTACAACAACTACGGCTTGCAATGGTTTATTCCGTACCTGATGGCTGTCTTCATTGTGGCCATCCCCGCGCTTATCCTTGAGATCTCCATCGGCCAGGCCTACCGAGGAGGCAGCGTGATCGCGTTCAACAACATCAACCGGCGCCTAAAGGGCGTTGGTGTCGGGCCAATCTTTGTCAGCTTCATCGTGGTTCACTACTTCACCGTGAACCTGGCCTGGATTATGAGCTACTTCCGCCACTCTTTCACGAGTCCGTTGCCCTGGGAAGGGCGCATCGAGGAATTCTACATGGGGGATGTCGTCAATAACGTTGATCCTATCCCTGGCAGTCTTAGCAACGGCAACGACAACGTGGTCGCGTACACGGATTACCCCGGCATCGGTCTGATCGGAGAGACTGTCGGATGGAGTGCCTTTATCTGGTTCCTGGTCTGGATTTCCATCTTTCGCGGCGTAGGTCTGACTGGTCGAGTGGTCTACTTCACCATGGGTCTGCCAATCATCACCACCATCATCTTTGTTGGTCGGTCTTTATCTCTCGACAACGCTGGCGCCGGTGTTCGACTGCTCTGGGCGACCTGGCGGGGCGGACAACTCGGGTCTGGCACCATCTGGCAGACCGCCGTCGGACAAGTCTTTTTCTCGACCGGGGTAGGCTTCGGATACTTCACCTCGTACGCCTCCTACAACGCAAAACATTCCAATGCTGTGATGGACGCCTTCCTCATCTGCGGTAGCAACGTCTTGTTCGAGAATTTCGCCGCGCTGGCCATCTTTGGCATTGTCGGTTACATGCGCCTGTGGCCGGAAGATGGTGTCAGACTGGGTGCTTTCGTCGTAGGCTTTCTCACGCTGCCTGAGGCCGTGATTCAGATGCCTGGAGCGAATTTCTGGGCCGTGCTCCTCTTTTTCACCCTGGTGGTTCTCGGGTTTTCGTCGGCATTTGTCATGCTTGACGCCGTTGCTACCATGCTGGTCGACGCCGGCATCCAGTTCTCCCGTCCAGTCATCGTCACGGCACTCACTTTGTTGTCATTTCTCCTGTGTCTGCCATACTGCACCGAGTTCGGCTACTACCTTCTCGACGGTATCGATCGTTGGATCAACAATGTGGCCCTGATCTTTGTGGTCTGGTCCGAGGTGGTGAGTGCCACGACCGTCTATCGTTGGCCGGACGTGGTCAGCCAGACGGGGATGCCTGCCCTCATCACATACAACGTGGGGTATTTCGGTGGACAAATTGTCGGAGTTGCAGTCGCACATGGTGCAGAAAATGCAGCCGCCGGAGCTGGTGCAGGCTTTGGACTCTATGTCCTGATGACAACCATCTCGGTCATTATCTCGGCGACGCCAACTGTGAGGGCGCCGCGCTTCTGGGGTCGAAATGTGTATGCGAGCCGGCTATGGTACCTCGCGTTCTACTCGGTAAGATATTCTCCAGACGTCTGACACTGTGCCTGTTACTTTCTTTTTTTTTTTTTTCTTGTTGTAGCAAACTTACCGTTGATGTCTAGGGAAACCAACTGCGACGAGATCTCAATGTCATCGTTGGCCACGGCAAGAACTGGAACATTCCCGTGGCGTTCCCCATACTGTTGCGATATGTCAGCGGTCCCATCTTGGCCATTGTCTTCAGCTTCGCTTACCCGGAATTTCACACCTTGCGATACGATCCGTTGATGATCTCAGGCTTCATCCTCGCACATCTGGGCATGCTTGCAATTCTCCTCGGTCTATTTTTCCCACGCTGGTATGACGCTTTGATCCCCATGCACCGTCGGCACGAGGGGACGGAACCGACCGTGGTCAACGAGGTCAAGGGTCAGGTGGTTGCACGTGCAATCAACGACCCGGCCATTAACGATCCCGAGATTGCATTTGAGGGATCGAGTTCGCAGGAAGAGATATCCCGGAACGGACATGTTGATAACGAGATCCGCGAGAAATAGATTGGAGTTGGACCTCTCAACAGAAGAATGAAATAGACGCTTTGACTGCACACTGCGATGTTCTACAATTATGATGACGCTGTGAGGGTACTGCTTTGCGCCTGCGTCCGTTGATGCTTCAGGTTCCTTGCAATACCGTCGCCCACGTCAGGACGTGTCGCACTCACTGTAGCGCGGGCAGGGCGAATGCCCTCGGAGTTTTGCCTTCCCCACGATTTCCTAGAATGGATGTCTCGGTCTGGGGAACTTGCCCCTTTCGCTAAATAGATGGATCTTGACTTGATGCGTATGTAAGAACAGAACAATGGACTTCGTCTGCAAGGTCGCGTATCTTGGCCCAGTGTCACATCGTTGCACCTTGGGCTTGGCCAAGCACATGTTCATGAACGTCTCCAACTACTGCCCATCGCCTGCTCTCCGCCTTATTAGGGCTCCCTTGCCGATGAGCGAGACTGTTTCTCCGATCTCGCATCTGTCTCGTTGTATAAGCATAGGCTAGCCCCTCTTAGTCTTACTTCGAACGACTACCTGCCTACAACTACAGCTACGGTAACGGCTCAAGGATAGCGGGGCTTCTCACAACAAGTGGGGAAATCCCAGCCAGCCCTCGATCATGGCTTCGGTTTCCCTTCTACATTCCGGTGCACTGGGTATACTTGTACGGGCCATCCCTCAAACTCGTTGATTGAGGAAGGCAATGTATCGGCAAGACTGTGCTGCGACTCAGACAGCAAGGGACCATTCCAGAGGCACCGTACAAGGCTCTTCAGCTGCAGCTCTTGTCTCACATCATCCTCTTGTCGGGTATGTTCCTGCTAAGAACAAACCAGCTGTCCCAATGCTCTGGTACCGATGATCCCGACGAACTGGCCCGGCAGGACGAACCCGGAATGCCCTACGATGAGCCCCAGTGGATATGGATGCCGACTACTTGATTAGGTCATATATAAGCTGCTGCAGATGCTAGGACCACAAGTGTAGTCCCGAGAATAGTCTCCATGTGAGCCTGACTGACAATCCACTATAACTGCAAGCAGAGTCGCTAAGTATTTCCGCGATAGTCCATGGCTCTAAATAACCGGTGGAGCCAGTTAAAAGCAAGCCTTTGGTAGTGGCAGTCGTACTAAAAGTCTCTAGTGCGGAAAACTCTCATTCCGACCAATGGAAATAGTGTAATCTCAATGTCGGTCCACAACGATTCGTATAGTCGAGACGACCTCTGCAACTATAGTCTCAAGAGACTTAGTCCGGTAAGCACTATCCTGCATAGTTCTGGCATCGCTGTTTGAAAAACCGATGATACTATGCGCATCTCGCACCCTGTAAAATATTCCTCCTGTTAGAAATGCCGACAGACTAACGTGATACCCGAGGTTAAGTGAAGTATCGCCTGACTGCCAACGAGAACCGCACGAGGGTGTGAGTGCCCTGTGGATCTTTATAGGCAGCTTTCTGAGTTGTATGATGCTGACTCTCCACGTTCCCCAGCGTGGAGAGAGTGGCTCTCCAACCCTCCATTCCCCAAATTTTGTCACATCAATTTTCCCCACAAAGAAACTCAGAGTTACTCGGACTTGCTTATCACGGAACCCATTTCCCAGACATGGTGTCAACATGCTTCATCTTCCTTGGTTCACACAACAGCGACCCATAATACCGAAGCGACCAGGCTGGACGCCGTCGCTGCCGATTGTCGGATTCTCACCGCCTATGGTGCCGTGTTCTCCAACACCATGGTGCCCTGCAGAGCAGCGAGCACCCTCTCTCCCCAAGTACATCACCAGTGATGACCCTAGTTCGACTCCAAGATGGCATCCACTTTCGCCTCGTGGCTGCATCGTGGTTGGACTTGCATGAGGAATATAAACCCCTGGTGACGGACATGGCATGGTTCCTTTGTGCGTTTTTTCGATCCCAATCTGTTGGATCTGACTTGATCGTCCCAAGTCTGTTTCGCTTTCTTCAACATGGGCTTGTTCAGGCATGACGCGGGAGACGTGGTTGACGCCTCGCACTCCGCAAAGGCCAACACGTACAACTTCTCCGTCGTCTTCTTCAGCGCGCTCGGTTCCTTTACGTATGGGTACAACTCGTCCATCATCGGTTCCGTCTTTGGTTTGCCCGCGTTCTGGGACTATTTTGACCTTTCTCTCACGGGGCCCAACGCCAACAAGGGAAATGACATGATCGGCGGTAAGTGGCAAGCAAGGGTTCACTGGCGGTCTTTTTTTTTGGCATATGCCCTGACAATGCGAACTAGCTGCCAATGGTCTCTTCGCCGGGGGTGGCATTATCGGTGCTCTTATTGTCAACTGGATTCTCAACAAACTCGGTCGCTGCAGATCTATTCAGATCGTCTGCACCATCTGCGTTATCTCGGCTGCGATTCAAGGCGGGGCGGCTCATATTGCCATGTTTCTCGTTGGGCGTTTCCTCAATGGTGTCGGTGTTGGCATGATCCAAGTCACGGTGCCTGCATACATGGTCAGTTCGATTTCGTTTGAATTGAAAGGTGCCACTATACTGACGTCCGCCCTAGTCGGAGCTATCGCCAGCAAAGCAACGAGGTCGAATGACAGGTAATTAACCCTGATGCTGGTAGTCTCCCTTTGGACTTGGTTCTGACATTCGACCCAAGGTTCACACGGCGTTCTGGTCGTCTGCGGCTACGTGAGTCTTAGATCTTGTAACCCTTTCGCCATTGATTGTTGCTCTAACCAAACACCTTTCAGGGAGCTGCCGCATTTACCGGTCTTGGCTGCTACTTCGCAGCGCCCCAAGTCCAGTGGCGACTATGTCTCAGTCTGCAGATTGTCGCGCCCCTGGTCCTCCTCATCGGCTCGCCGTGGCTGCCTGAATCGCCTCGATGGCTCATTTCGAAGAACCGGGAGCTGCAAGCGCTCGAGATCCTCCAAAAACTGCACTCGCGACCAAACGATCCCGCCGGGCTGGCGGCCAAGGAGGAGTTCTACCAGATCTCGAAGCAGATCGAGCTGGAGAACGCGACGGGTGTGCACGGGATCTGGGGCATGCTCAAGCGCGCCTCGTATCGCAAGCGGATATACTCGGGTCTCCTGGTGCAGTATGTTTTCGATCCCCCTCTCCCCTTCTTCCCCTAATATTTGTATATCTTCTGTCCTAACCAACGCTCTCGTGCAGATGCGCTGCTCAGTCGACTGGCGTCTTGGTCATCAACAACTATCAAGTGCTGCTGTACAACAATCTCGGTCTGTACGGATGGCTCCCGTTGCTCCTGTACGCCATCTACACGTCGTGGGCGGCGTTCATGAACTGGATCAACGCCATGCTGCTTGACCGGCTAGGCCGGATCCCCATCATCACCTTCGGCCTGAGCGGCTGCATCTGCATGATGATCATCGAGACGGCCATGGTGGCCACGTACGCGGGGACCGACAACAAGGGCGGCAACGCCGCGGGTGTTTTGTTCCTGTTCCTCTTCGTCACGTTCTACGGTGGCAGCCAGGACGCCAGCAGCTACGTGTACTGCAGCGAGATCTTCCCGACTGGTGTGCGCGCCCACGGACTGGGCACCTCGATCGCCGGTCTCTTCGCCTCGACGCTGCTGTACACTGAGGTCGCGCCGACCGCGTTCGCCGACATTGGATGGAAGTAAGTTTTGTCCTGTCCTTTTGGCTCTTCCTCTTGAGTCTTGTTCTCTCTATTTCTCTCCTTTCTTTTCTCCCATGTGCGATCGCGGTTGTGTGATCATGCTTGCTGACTGGTATACGCTAGATACTACCTCGTCTTCATCCTCGTGCCGGCAGCCTGCCTTCCGTTCCTGTGGCGCCTCCCCGAGACAAACGGCCTCTCGCTCGAAGAGATTGCCGCAAAGTTCGGCGACGAGGTTGCCGTCGACCTGTCCCATCTCGACGAGGAGCGGCGACGCGCGCTCGACGAGCGTCTGTTGGCAGTCGGGGTCAATATCGGTAGCACGCCTTCGAGCGAGAACGAGGCTGAGGGTAAAGTGACCGTGGTGGCTGACCATCAAGAGGCGGTCTTGAAAGGTGAATGATGGATGAGATGTTGGCATCTACAAAGGGGGCAGAAGACAACCACCGTAGCATCACTGTTATTACAGTAGATGCGATTGCTCAGCTCAGTAGATTATGTGGTAGATCGTTTGGATCCAGACTATCTAGCCGCACTTGCCTCTCTCTGCCGTCGTCTTGAATCTGTGCTGCATATATTCTCCGACTAGGCACCAATCCATTGACGCCCTGCACTGTCTCTCAGTAGGTATAGTTCCGGTTTTCGCCTGTGGTCTAGCGTAGGTGAACAACGTCAAATGTTCCAGAGAGTCTGGGTCCGGGGATCATTGACAATTGGATCCCCATGACATCCATCAGTTGTTCGGGCAGACAGTCAGTCAGTCACTCAGGGAGGCTGCCTTGAAAGGTATATGCGTATATGTAGGAGGCTGCACGAAGGAATGGACTGCTAAATTCGAAATGGGACGCCAGCAGCGTGATATGTAGTCGCTCGACCGATCGTGCAGGGTGTTGCCGACCTCGGGGCACTCTCAAACAGAAGTAACGGAGCAGAATGGCGGATGAGAACGACACATGTACAAGACCCCAGAGGTCTGCCTACCTTGCATCCTCACAGAGCATTCTTCACATTCCTTTGTATTGCAGGGCCTTCCAGAGAAGCGGCTGAAGAGCAATTCCTTCTCACTGCTTCAATTGTTGGCTTGGGAACGGTGTGGGGAGCTGCGTCGTTCGTAGCCTTCAACAAAGATGGAGATAAGAAGTCCAAGGCATGATGGCTAGCGACGGTCAACACTCTGGACAGGTTTCGCATATACAGGAAATTTGAAAGTAGGATTTCGACCTAGGCAAGCAATGCCTTCGTGTCAGGTCTTCTGGGGAGGTCCACACACTCTCTCTTCACGTGTCTCTGGAGTGCTCGGACGATAGATATCATCGTGTAATCATAAAAGAGTCAGAGGCTAGGGAACGAGACGATTGCGACTTCCATTGTTCAGCCTCATCGGCATATACAATAACACACGGTCTTTGTGCAACGAAGACACTATGACGGAAATAGATCTGGTCTCTCGTGCATAACAGCCCCGGCGTATCCTCCAGACCTTTCGGCAGTGAGAGCTACGCGCAAGCAAAGCACTGTGCACGAGTAAGAACACATCCAAAGTGGCTTATCGAAAGGCGAACCAGAACAGTCGAAGGGATCATTTAGACGTCGAAAGCGGATCCGGCGCCTAAATGTTTCTCGTTTGTTTTTTCCTTTTTTTTTTCCTTCTGGCTGTGCCGACGTAGATAGGTGCGAGGTAGAAGCAAACAATCTTGGCTGGTCTAGCGCATCAGCCCTGTGATCTCGGTACTTGATCAAAGTACCGGACCGGGAAGGGGTCGTCATGTTTTGGGTAATATACTAAACGAATCCAAGTGCGATGAACGCTGTGATGAACTGCCGGGACCTCCCTCAAGATCCATCGAGTCTCGGATAGAGAACCTTCAAGTGTGCAGTTTTGAAATTTTACCTTTTGGCCAAGGGGATGGTGGTCGTGGTGGTCGTGGTGGTTGTAGTGGTCACGATGGTGTCAGCGCCGGCAACTCTCCTTGTCGCTAATCAAACAGAAAATTACAGAAGGCAGAGAGAGCAAGAGCCTCGCCGGTCCCGGTTGGAGCCCTGGGATCAACACCATCTCTGCATCTTGAATGGGTGTGAATGGTCACAAGGCCCGGGGAGAATGCCCATTGTTCGCTTCTACTACTACTTTGTACATAATTGTCTTTCACACGTGTCGACTACAAGCACTAGGGTAATGCGAGGCTGCCCCAGGAAATGCGGTACAGGCTCCAAAACTCGGGGTAGGAGAAGGCGGAAAGTGGGAAAATGGCGACGGGGGACGAAGATGGTATAGGTAGTCTTTGTCCCCTTTTACGAGAGGGAGGTCTTTAGTGTTATTATTATTATTATTTATTATGCATGATTCACATTGTGGCTGTTTTCACTGGCAAAGGATGATGAAGAGGAGAGGAGCTTCACCGAGGGGGGAAAACGCCACATACTCTCCGTAGCCACTCCCACCACCTCCTCATCTTCCTCTTCCAGGCTCCCTCCTCCTCGCCGTCGTTGTGGTCCCCGGGTGCGGGACCCCCAGATTCGGACACAAACTCCACTTTGTGGCTCTTCGTTGTCCGGACTCTGGGACACCATCACCGCCTAAAAAACCACAATTATTGGAGCTGTGAGCTGTGGCTGGTCATCTCCTCCTACTCCTACTCCTAGGTGGTCAATCAAACTTGTTCCAGCTCATTCTCCTACATCGGAACTGTCAATCTCTCTCGGCTGAGATAAACCATCGGCATTTCAATCTTTTGATACAAATATACGAGGATTTCATAAGCACCCAATATTAGGGGGAACCGCCCAGGGGGGGGGGGATGCTAGGGGGTGCTTCTACCGGACGCCCGCCACTTGCCAGCCTACCAGCCTCTCATACAGGACTGAGTCAGAGCTCGGCAGATCCTTGGACGAAATAAACCCGTCGATGGGGAAGTCATCAAGGCGTCACTAGCATCGACTACTCGGGCCTAAACAGGGGGTGTTTGGTCATGGCTTCAGCACTCCTCCGTCCGACTCTACTATTCTGTTCTGGAGCAAAGGTTCAAGCAACGGCAGTTGTACTTGATCACGCACCATAAACCCGCGATTGGTCCATCTTCCCTGGTCCCCCCCCCATGGGCACCGGAACAGACCCACGGCGCCTGGACTGGACACCTGGACCACCTGGACGACTCTCGGCGAACTGGGGCAATTCCGTCGACTGGTCTGCCTGCCCCATGGGGCGAGATCATTGGAGAAACGTCTATCTTGGACACCCACGCGAACGAAGCTTTCGAGCTGGGTTTCCTGCATCCTGCCAGACTCCCTTATGCACGAGGTCGAATAATAAATTGCCAAACGAGCCAGATTCAATGAGGGGCCGAGGGCTTTGGGCATATTAAGTACAAGTAGTCGCGTCAGACCACTACATCGACATCTTCTCCTCGACTCTACACTCGATTCTTCCCGTCGCCCAAACAAACAAACAGCCTCTGGTTCCCTTTGGTCCTCTGGACGGACAGAACTCGGCTGTTAGACAAGACAATATCATCACATCCCCGAGTGGTTCAACCTCTTTGGTGGTCGCAGCCCTGCAACAATGGGTCTCGGCGTCCTGGAAGGCAAGCACGCTTTTCTCTCCTACGGTCGGCGGCGAACTGACATCGACCAGACAGGAAGCTGGACCACGTCCCCGGCACGGTCCTACTAAACGACGAAGCCGCGCACTCGGAAGAGATCACCTCAGGGCTCAAGCACGGAAAGGGTTCGGATGCTCATATCGTGCTGTCGCCTCAACCCAGCGAAGACCCCAACGAGTAAGTTGCGCGTGCCTTGTACCTCGTACCCCGGATAGATCGTCCGTTCCTCTCCTCGCGTCGAGAATGTGGGCTGATTCGCACATGTACAGTCCCTTGAACTGGCCACTATGGAAGAAGGAAGTCATCATCGCCATCCTCTGCTTCGGCTCGATGCTTAACGCCGGCACCAATGTAAGCGAACAAGCGAGCGACGAGGCGGTGAAGCCAATGGTTTCTGAACTTTGTGGTGTTGCTTAGGGCCCTTTCCTCAACGCGTCGTATTTCGAAATGTCTCAGGAGCTGAACACGGATATAACGACTGTTGTCTTGGTTTCTGGTTACAATCTTTTGGCTGCAGGATGTATTGGACCATTCGGTACGTGACCTCCAGAGGATCTTCCCCGGGTGAGAAAGACCAAAGACTAACGAGGGCGCCTCTCTTGTGTCTAGTCTCGGCTTTCAGTCGCAAATATGGTAAAAGGCCAGTCTTTCTCGTGTCGACGCTCTTCGATATTGTCGGAACGGCCATCGGCGAGGCCAAAATCTCGTACAAATATCTGCTGGCCGCCCGCATCGTCCAAGGGTTTTCGACGTCCGCCTTCGAGTCCCTGATCGTGTCCGCCGTGGGTGACATGTACTTTGTGCACCAGCGAGGTCTGCGCATTTCCATCATCAACTTCATCCTCAACTCGGCCTCGAGTCTGGCGTCGGTCATTTGCGGCCAGGTGTTCCAGAAGCTCGGCTGGCTGTGGCTGTTCCACATGTTCCAGATCTTTTTGGTCGTGCAGTTCGTGCTCATGTTCCTCTTCTGCCCCGAGACGACGTACATCCGCGACACGCGCTACAACACCGACACCGCCGTCGACGAGAAGCTCCAGGACCTGGCCGTGATCGAGGCCACGCACAAGGAAATGGTGGGCGAGCCCGGCCAGGGCGAGCGCACAGATATCCCCAAGAAGAAGACGTTTGTGCAGGAGCTCGCCGTCTGGACGGGCGTCTACTCGCACGACAATGTCTTGAAATTCTTGTTTGGACCCTTTTTGACTCTCCTCAACCCGGCGGCCTGTTATGCCGTTATCGCGTCTGGCGTGCTCAACAGCTGGTGAGTTTTGGTTCACCATGAAACCATCGAACCGCCCTCCACATCATGCGGAAATGCTCCATCCACCAAATTTCTAACCGCTCATCAGGTATGTCGGATCCGCCATCATCCTGGCCGGCATCTTCTCCGGCCCTCCGTGGATGTTCAACGCCTCGCAGATCGGATACGTGGGATTCGGTCCTTTTATCGGCGGCTTGATTGGATCCATCATCACCGGCGTCACCAGCGACTACGTGATCAAATACCTCGGTCGCAAGAACAAGGGCGTCTAGTAAGTCCCCTCCATTTATCTTCCTCGCTCCTCCCCTCTCTCCCTCTCTGGGACAACCCGAAACTGACATGCCTGGGGGCACCATTTTAGCGAACCTGAATTCCGTCTGTGGTTCATGGCCCCAGCCGGCGTCGCGTGTGGCTTGGGGATGTTCCTGTTCGGCTATACCCTGGAGGTGGGCGCCGCGGCCGAGCTGTGCGCGTTCCTGCAGGGAGTCATGATGGTGGGCGTGTTGATTGGGATTTTCGCGACGCTGTCGTACGGTCTGGACTCGTTCCGGGAACAGAGCAACGAGATTTTTGTCATGAACATGCTGTTCAAGGTGCGTTGCTACAGCCCACTATTTTTTTTCCCCTTTCTCTCTCCCGTTTTTACCATCTGGCAAAACCTTCTAACACTCTTCCCCCGCTTACAGAACTTCATGTTCTACGGCCTCTCCAACTACGCCAACAACTGGGTCGCCGACAGCGGGCCTGAGCAGATCATGTACGTCTTTGGCGGCACCTCGATCTTCCTCTCCCTCCTGGCAATCCCCGTGTACATCTTCGGCAAGCGCCTGCGCAGCTGGTGGGCCCGGCACGACCTGTTCAAGACGTTGAAGATGGAGACGCACGGGCCCGTCAGCGAGATGGGCTAGTGTTACCGTGTACAGTTTGTTCGCGCTCTGCTCATGTAGAGGGGTGAGGGGGTTTGATGGTGACTACCGCAATCGACCGACCGACCGACTTTTGAGACGGAGAGATTATCTAGATTTCTGGACATTTCGAGGTCGAGATGGTTAGGTAGAGGGGTGTCAACCTAGGGGAAGTAGGGGGTAATGTTCTACGAGTACAGTACTTGCAGTGTTTTGTGTCGAGCTAGCGCAGCATGTCCCTCCAGATGTACCTACCCAGTAAGGGAGACATATATCCAGACAGACAGATATACCTACATGGCCTTGTCTGACCCTGTCCAACGAGGTGCAGCTATCCAGGTCTCGTTCCAAGGTGCGTCCAAAGAGAACGGCATGTAGGTGGCGACGCCGTCCTCTCCTCTAGGATTCCATTCTCCTTTTTGCTCCCCATCTCCCTTTCGCCGTTCCCTTTCCCTTTGCTTTGCTTTGCTCCTGATCCCCTTCGCTTCGCCCATTACAGCTCCTGGATCTAGTCTGCCCATCCCGGCCCCCGAGGAGCGAGTACTCTTTCAATAGTATAGTCTATAGCCTATAGACTATATCTCACCAATGCTAGAAGATGTGCGTAGTATAGCATGGTATGCCTGTACCGAGCATACAGAATGATTGGTGCTCTTCTCGGCCGAGGATGTTGCACCTCTCACCTCGCACCTCGCACCTTTCGCATCACGCAGTGGCTCGGTCTCGGCTTTATGCAATACACACATACGTCCATACTCGGTACAATACCTGCCGTCGCAACTAAATGTAGGTATGCCGCTGTCCTATCAACAGCGAGTCCTGGTACCCCGGTCTAGCACATGTCCAACTGGGCTGCGCCAGTGGCAGTGGCTGGTTACCAAGCAACTCCCAGGGATGATATGCACGGACATGTAACTGTAACCACAACAATCTGTAGCTGTCTGTGCATTACGACCGAGCGACACAGCTGAACTGGCACTCAACCGATACTCAACTACCCCCGTTAAGAGGCGGGGTGTACTCGGTCAACCGTCACCATCGCCATCGAGAGCGAGATACTCACACACACACACATACACACTGATTGAGGACGCGAAAGGGGGAGAGAGAGAGAGAGAGAGAGAAAGTAACAATCAAGTCAGGATGGACTGGGTGACAGGCTCGGTGCCGCAGGAGAATGCCTGCTAACCAGGGCATACCCGGTTGTCGTACGTTGAGTTGGGACGCCTGACGACGACGGATGATAAGCCATTCGAGGACACCTCGACAGGTATATATATCAATACACGAGACGAAAGGTCTGGCTTGGACGCAGCAACACTTCTTTATCCATTGCGTAGTTCAAAGAGCTTTACCTCGCAAAGAATATCGCAAATTACCGACAGAAGAATTAAGACTACGACAACGACAAACGACGAAAGAGCAAGCCGCAATACACCTCCGCAGTTGACACTTTGACACAATCTCTCTCTCTCTCCATAACTTCAATATGTCGACCCCCGAAGTGGCCATCATCGGCGCGGGCCTCGCAGGTCTCACGTTGGCTCTGGCTCTGCATGAACAAGGCATCAAGGCCACAATCTACGAGTCCAGACCAGCGCCCCTCAACATCGGCGGTGCAGTCATGCTTTCCCCAAACGCCCTTAAGGTCTTGGATGCCTTGGGTTTGTACCAGGATGTCCGTGGCCGGGGCTACAACTTTGAACTTCTCAAGGTGGTCACAGTCGACGGCGACCTCGTCGAGACCTACGAGTTTGGCGGCAAGGAGAAATACGGCTACCAGGCAAACCGGTGCTATCGCCACGAGCTCATCGACGTGATATTGTCCAAGGTCAAGTCCCTGGGTATCCCCGTGGTGTTTGGTCGAAAGTACGCTCGTGTCGTCGAGGAAGCCGCAGACCACGTTGTCTGGGAGTCGGCTGATGGCACCCAATCCACCGTGTCCATCCTCGTCGGAGCAGATGGGATCCATTCGTCTGTCCGAAAATACCTCTATCCAGACGTGGAGCCAAAGTTCATCGGAATGGCAGGCATCACCTCGGCCGTTCCAGCGAGCCAAGTCACCTACCCCTACGGAAAGATTGACCAGCCCCTCACTATCACCGCTGAGGGCAAGGGTGCATTCGTGATCGCGCCTCAGAAACCGGACGCCTCGGAAATGTTCTTCGGGAGACAGAAGCGCATCGACGAGCTAAGCCGAGAAGGATGGGACAAGTTCCTTGCAGACAAAGAAGGCTTGGTCAAGTTCCTACAAGAAGACGCCGAAGTATTTGGCGAGGTCGCCGTCACTGCCACCGCGAAGATTCCGCATGACAAGATCAACGTTTGGCCATTCTACGTCATTCCGCCCTTGAACAGGTGGGCTTCCCAGAAGCGCAGGGTTGTTATTCTGGGTGACGCCGCCCACGCCATCCCACCCAGTGCCGGGCAGGGGATCAATCAGGCTTTCGAGGATGTATACATGTTCTCGCTTCTCCTGGCGGCAGCTCAGTCGGGCGGTGTCAATTTCGAGGATGCCTTGACGTTCTGGCAGGGGTTCCGTCAAGACAGGATCAACAAGATCTTGGAGCTGAACAAGCAGATTGACTTGAGGAGGATGCCGAAGAGTTCTCGCCCTGGCGATCTGGCGGATGAAGTCGTGCAGAAGGAGTTTGACTTGCGCTGGCTGTATGAGCCGGACTTTAAGGCGGAAGTGGAAAACTGGATCCGAAGCGCTAAGAGTTAGAGATCACAGAGACTCCCGCTACGAGATGGCTAGACAGGTGTAGCTGAGGGATATGGAGATAGCTGTGAGGGCAGGCTGCTGGAATGTGTGCAGAGCAGGAGGGGAGAGGATGGTCGATGCAGAGGCAAAAGCCATTGGCTATGAATTCACGATTTTCAAATGACACACAAATCCCTCTGTTGTCTTGGCGTCATTTGAAATTTCATTCCACCATCCGCGTTCACTTTCAATCCCATATACCGCGGAGTTGAGATTCCTTCTTACGAGTGAAATTGTCTGGTGAGAAAACAGCCGGCATCCTACCGAGTCAAGGCTGCTGCTGAGACCCTAGTCCCCATACATCAACATGGCCCCTTCGACAGAGCCTCACTTGGATGGCAGCGACAGTGACACTTCTTCCTTGTCAGATCCTCTAGATACAACCAACGATGAAGGCTGGGAGGATATCGAGCAAGACGAGGAGCCTCTCACTATCATCTCTCTGCTTGACGGAGCCACATTTCCTGACGCACAGAGCATGCTGGCCCATTGTCGAGACACCCATGGCTTGGATATCTGGAAGTTGAGGCAAGAATTCGGTAAACACTGAAGATCCATGTAGGAAGAGGGTTGATCGTGCTGACTCTGCCTCTTACTAGCCTTGGATTACCTAGGACTCGTCCGACTGGTCAACTACATCCGCACGGAGGTCAAGGCAGGCCATGCACGGCCTGACGTCTCGTCCAAGGCGCTGTTCGATGACGAAAAGTATCTCAAGCCCGTCCTAGAGGACGATGCCCTTTTGTACAGTCTCGACGATGTCTTCGAAGAGGATGTGAGCGGAGCTCCACTTTCCGAAGTCGAACAGCTTCGAGAACAACTGGAAACTCTACAGAGTCAATTCTCCGCCTATCGAGAACAGGTGCAGAACGCCATGCTGGATCGCATCGAGCAGTCGGCCCCTCCGCAAGAATCGAGCGCTTCGCTTGTGGATGCAGCACCCGAGTCAAAAGAACGAGGCAGCAACAACGCTGAGCAATTTGACAAGGCTTATTTCCAGTCATACTCGTACAATGCGATCCACGAATCGATGATTAAGGATCGCATACGTACCGACACGTACCGCGACTTCATCTACGACCACAAACACCTCTTCAAAGACAAGGTCGTCTTGGACGTCGGCTGTGGGACGGGAATACTGTCCATGTTCTGTGCGAAAGCGGGTGCCCGGCTCGTCATTGCGGTGGACAACTCGGGCATCATTGACAAGGCTCGCGAGAACGTCTTCACCAACGGCCTGCAGGACGTTGTAAAGTGCGTGCGGGGGAAGATCGAGGAGGTGACTCTGCCGGTGCCCAAGGTGGACGTGATTGTGAGTGAGTGGATGGGCTATTGTCTCCTATACGAGTCCATGCTCGACTCAGTCATCTATGCGCGCGACAAGTACCTTGCTGCGGATGGCTTGATGGTCCCTTCGCATGCGACGCTGCGCATCGCGCCACTGGCCGACTCGGACCTGAAGGCCTCGCACATTGACTTTTGGCGCGACGTGTACGGGTTCGACATGACGGCGATGCTGGAGAAGGCACACGAAGAAGCCCTGGTCCGGGTAGCCGACGAGAAGGAACTGGCCGGGGAGAGCGTCGCGTTTCTCGAGTTGGATCTGCACCGGACCACAGTGGATGACTTGACCTTTACCAAACCCTTCGCGACGACGTGGAAGGACGGGTTCAAGATCCTCGAAGGCTTCGTCATCTGGTTCGACATATTCTTTCAGACGTCGCGTTCTGAGGGTATCGCGGCAGGCATGACAGCCGCCGAGGCCAAGGAGAAAGGCGTGGTCGCGTTCTCGACGGGACCCCATTCGGAAGCGACGCACTGGCAACAAGGGATTTTCCTGATCAAGGACCCCGTGGACGAGTTTGTCGGCGGAGACAGCATCACCGGCGAAGTGACGTACCTGAAGAAGCAGGGCCAGGAGCGGTCATTGGACATTGACATTGCATGGACCAAGGTGGGCGTCGTGAGCGACAAGGACAAGGAAAAGGACAAGCAGCGGGTGAAGAAGCAGAGGTGGATCCTGGATTGAGATTCTTTGCCGTTTGCCCCTCTCGTCGACACACGATAGAGTATCAACATTCACCTTTTCACCTGCATGTGGCATATTCGTATGCTGCATACTCAATGCCCACTGGCCTGAACCTAGGGCCATTGTCGATGCCAGTGAGTGAGTGAGTTTGGCAAGCGATTCACACTCTACGAGTACGAGTACGAGCACGAGTGCCTTCGGTGCTTCGCT